TTTTCAGTTGTAGGGCTCTCATCGATAGTCACAAGTCGCCTGGAGCCCTTCACTACCCGGCCAGAGCGTGTGGTGGTTGCTGTAGTAGTGGCAGCAGCGGTAAAACTGGCTGCAGCAGTATCAATGGTGGGCTCGTATTTCGTGATGTCTGAGGCAGACTTTCTAGGTCTACCTCTTTTACGCTTGACAGGCACAGGCTCCTTAGAGGTCTCCTTGAACTGCTGACAGCGTGTGAGTGCCTCCGGTACGCACAGGCTGGCTGCTGCCTGCTGGACTCTGTCCAGGTTGTGAGGATCCAACTTCAGCTCTCCGGTGTAGACAAAGTTTAGGAGCAGCTCCAAGCCATCACTGGGGCATCCCTGCAGGCAGAACTCTGTTGCAGAAGGCATGTTTGACTGCTGGAGGAGTTCAGTGAAGCAGGCGAGGATGTTGCGATGAGCAAGGAACACTACCCCGTCTCCCACATTCAATGATGCATCACAAAACCTGCCCACTGCCCTCTGCTGGTTCAGGGCAGACAGGACACGTTGTGCATGGTTGCTCTCTGCTGCAGACATGCCTCCTGCTTCACTGTAGATGGCTGGTAAATGAGACGCATCAAACAAAGTGTGTGGTTTAGACCAATTATCAGCAGAGCACCTAGTCAAAAAATCCACATGTCACTCTAAACGTGCTTTACAGGATTTTAAACTGATGGTATTTTACCTGATTCCATGTTATCATTTATATTAGTGCCAGTAGTGAAAGATAAAAGTGGGAAGATTTCTAGTATTGATAATTAGAGACCAACTGCCTTGGCAAATGTATTTTGTAAAGTGTTTGAACACAGATTTCAAAAGCATATAACAACAACTGATAATCAAGTTGGTTTTAAGAGTAATACTGATCTATACATAAATATATATACAAATATAGGGACAGAACACATCAGTTTTTTGTGCCTTTTAGATGCGCCCAAAGCATTTGACAAAGTAAAACCATCAGCTGTTTGTTAAATTGCAAAGCAGAGCGGTCGTTGCATATGTAATTAGGATTTTTGGTATTCACATCAAACTATACAAGCTAAGTGGGGTACGGAGATATCTGAACCTTTTTCTGTATCTATCGGCTCTTTCGTGTCGTAATTGAAAACTGAAAACTACTTAAGAAATGTCAAGAAAGCTGCCTATGAGAGTTCGAGCTATGTTATAGAACAGAACTGTAAAAACTCTGTTTTTGCCTTATAGCCTGGATTTCCTCATTCAATAACCCTTAGCATCTTTTTCTCATTTTCATAGCAAAATTTAAAGGAGAGGTAACCTAAGACTTTTGCACAGTACTGTATTTGCACTGACTGAAGAATCAAGTATGGGTGTGAGGTCAAAAAAAGACATTTGAATGTGTAACCGGGTCATAAATTACATATTGTTATAATTACACAAAATGTGTTCAAAACCTCACACCGTTACTTTTATACCTGACTTTTAGGACCTCCAAGCCTGTAGTTAACTTCATTATCAGTTTTAGCCCCTCCTCATCCTTTTCTTCTTCTTCTTTGGTGCAACCCTATAAATTTGGGGTGCCACTTTGGCCTCTCCCCTTTTCTATAATTCCCCTGTGGTAGAGGTTGGTGTCATTAATTTTCCAACACTAATTACATCTTTATCCACCCTGATGTTTCTGATTGTGGTTTAGTCCATTATTGTCATCTTTACCCCTGTCTTTACTAGATGAATGTGAATGAATATGTGGTACATATGCAGGGCTCGCAAAATTGCTAGCCCGACGTCCCGGGGGTAGCGATTTTTCCAGTCGGGCTACCAAAATCTATCTCTGTCTTTGTTACTGAGTTACTGAGACCAGTAATTTTAAGAAAGGCCCCCATTAGAACCCATAAGAAATGCATTATTGCTCAGTCTGCAATATCTTTCCCAGAACAAACACCAATTGCAAATAACA